GATTATGGCTGCCCTTCCCTCAAGCTTTTTTTTTTTTTTTTTTTTTTGTTTGTTTTTTGTTTTTGTTTTAGGTCATTCCTTCAATCCTCAGACTCTGAGTTTAGGTACAGTCCTAGGGAAAGAATTGTGGCTCAAACCCTGAGTTTAATACTTTGCTACCCTGACTTAAACAAGCTAAAGATAAAAATTAGGTTGAAATAGAGTTATATATTTCTTAGTTTGCCAACGAGTAATACATACCCAAAACAAACATGTACTCAAAACCAGCCGCCCAATGATCTAACGTATTAATAATCTGGAGGCTAAATTCCTTTATTTGTCTCAAGGGAAGATATCATCCTAAGTGCCAAGGGCATTAGCTTTCCCCAGAAGGCAGTGAGCTCTCAGGTTGCCAGTATTTTCATAGTGATTCAGATTCCAGAAGGTCTGATGATATCACTGATTCTGATTTCTTTATCTACTCCTATTCTTAATCAGTTACAGGATTCTGCCAACTTTTTCTTTGACATGTTTCTCATACTTGTTCTTACTTATGTATTTCTACTGCAATCAAACCAATTTATCTTACCATTTCCTCAAACTTTAATTAGGAAAATACCTGATCTCCCAGACTCTGGTCTGTCCTATCTCCTATTCCCTCTCCTTTTTTTTTTTTTTTTATTTTATACCCTAAAACCAAAACATTCTTTAGGTCATGACAGAGCCTTGCTCAAAATTCATTGGTTCTTACTGTTAACTGAATAAAATCTAGACTCCTGGACATGATCACAACCAGCCTTTCCAGTTTTATCTCTTACTACCCCCTCCCCACTCAGTTGCCTTCCTTACCCCCCATCCCCCACCCTTGCCCCTGGCCATCAGCCAGTACTGCCTACTGTCCTCTGGACAGTTAGGTTTAATCTTGCCTGTTTCTTGGTCCTTGCTGAGCTTTCTGCTTGAAACATCTCGTTCCTTCTACTTAGGCTTCCCATTCTTAAATTCCTGGAGTTCTCCATTCTCCAGGAGGTCTTTTCTGATCTGGATGTTTCCTCTTTATTCTCCAGTATTTTTGGTATTAATTCCTGTCTGAGGTTTATATTCAGCCTTGTTTGCTTGAGGTTCCTCGGGTTTTAGCACTAAAGGACCCTCATACTGAGAAATCCTTCAATTCTGGGGTACTATCATTATGTTTTGGGGGTCTCTTGTCCTCTGTTCTCAACTAAATTGGAGTCTTGGTAACAAATGCACCAGATTCTTGTTTTCTAGTGTTGCCTAAGTACTCATCCATGTGAAATGTCTTACTGTCTGGCTAGTCTGTACATTGAGGACATCATCTTAGTCTCACATTTACCTTACACGCATTCACCTGATATGTCACTTATGAAGAAATACTCAGTGGGAGCCAAGCCATTAGTGAACTCTCTAATGAGCATTCATTACACTTGGCTATTCCTAAAGACTTCCACCCCATATTTTAGACTGTGGTAGAGTTTTGGAAGTTAGAGAGTAAAACAGAAATGGCCAACCCTGTCAGGACTCCTAAAAAGAAATGTGCAACTGATCTGCTGAAACCAGTCCCAGTTGGGAGAATCGAGAGTATTTTGGAAGGTTTAAAATAAACTTGGATCGCCCTTTCAGGTGGAAATGTTCTCTGCCTTCTCTGCACCAGAAAGCCCTCTCTTTTCTGCCTGTTTTATTCCTCCTACGAGTGGTAGTTAAATGGTGGTGGAAGACAGCATGGGGACAAGTACAGAAAGAGAGGACTTGTGATAGCCTGGGTATCCTGGAAAACTCATGCAAGCAGCATGAGCAGAGATGCGCCCAGCGAGGTGTTTTCTCCGAAGTGAGAGGAAAGCTCACAGGAGATCCTCTTGCATGCCCCATGCTGTTCCCCCAATCCCACAGAAGCCTCTGTAGCCAACTTAAAAATGCTATCTAATATGCAAGCTTTGGGGTAAACAAGGTTCTATCCACTTTGTAAAAATGTCTGAGACAGTTTACAGCCAATGATCCCATTATAATAAATGTCTCCCCTGAGCCATAGCGAAATTGCTTTTTGCATTTAGCATCTGGGCTATCTTTTGTTTTCTGTGATGCCTACTGTCCTGAACTGTACCAAGAACTTGTAATGTACAAAAAATAAAGTTAGCTATCCCTCGGGGGTCAGAATAAAAACTAAAGTATACTGGCTTTGGATTCATAAAGTATTTTAGAAGAAAGTTCCTTGAGAAATAGGATCTTAGGGGGAAAATTAGAAAAAAAAAGAGATAAAAGGGGCAGAGAAACAGAACTGATAGCACGTATACACATATACAGACAGAGATTCATTTTGAGAAATTGGCCCCCACCAGGGGTGGGGGACTTACAAGTCTAAAATCTGCAGGGCAGTCTGGAAATTCAGGAAAAGTTGAAGTTGTGTTCTTGTGTTCTTGAGTACAAAGGCTGGAAACTCAGGTGAAGTTTCTATGTTGAAATCTGGAGGCAGGATTTTTGTAAGAGACCCAGTCTTCTGAGGCCTTCAGCTGATTAGACAAAGCCCACCCACCTTATGGTGAGTAATCTGCTTTACTCAAAACCTACTGCTTTAAATATTAATTACACTGGGGCACCTGCTTGGCTCAGTCCTTTAAGTTTTTGAATCTTGATGTCAGTTCAGGTCATGATTTCATGGTTGTGAGATCAATCCCCATGTTGGGCTCTGTGCTCGGCATGGAGCCTGCTTGGGATTCTCTCTCCCCCACTCTCTCTCCCTCTCTCTTTCTGCCCTTTCACCTCCCCCCCCCCCAAAATAAGTAAGCATTAAAAAAATAAATATTAATCACATCTAAAAAATACCTTCACAGGGAACAGGACACCACCCTCTGGCAAATTAATAAATAAAATTAATCATCACTGTGAGACATGGTACTATTCCATGTTAAAGGAGAAGTTTTTATTAAGCTTAAGCAGCCTGTCAATTTAAGCTAACAGTTATGTTTTAAACCTAAAGTATTCCCTGGATGACAAAATCTCTGGAATGCCCTCACTGCATATCTTTAAAGTTGAGTCATGTCTAAACATAAAGTAAGATTAATTTTAACATTTTTACCTCTCTCCCCAACTGAAAAAAAAAAAAAAAGATGCGACTGTAAAGTTCCCCACTCTTCTTGGTTTCACACAATAAGCCGAGAGAAAGCATGATTTGCAGCATTTGTAAAGCTAACAGAAAAACACTGCAGGGAAAGGTCTCGAAACCACAGAGTAAGGTAAATACTAGGTTGTAATCTAATTAGCAAATGATAATAGAAGCCAATGGAAAACAGGCCACATGCCCAAGAACTACAATTCCCCTGGGAAATAAATGATTGATCGCTTGGAAACAGATAGGGGAAAGCGTGTTCTTGCCTGTGACCTGAAACATAGATCACGGCTTCCAACCCAAGTAAAAGCATTTGTGAAAAACCAAATGCTTTACATACCAGTGCTCTGTCATTTACGGGCAAGACTGGTGAAGTCCTCCTCCTGCAGAACATGGGTGACCCTTGCAATTAAAGTCCTAACTCACTTAAGAAAGGTTGCTAGATGCAGAATGACGTCAGTAAAGTGATAATTTCCTCAACTTGAAGATAAAAGGCATAGTTTCTTAGGCGCCACCCGTCTTATTGCCATCCACCACTCACACGGAGATGCACAAAACTCAAAAATTAAAGAGCAGCCACGGTTACCCATCTTCCTGTTGGCTGTTTGACAGGCTGTTCTTAATGGAAGTCCCCCTATGGAAGGTTAGTGTCGTTCTTGAGTTTCGGCGGCTGTGCCTCCAGGAAGGATCACCAGGCTAGGGTGTCAGCTAGAGAACTAAGTTCTGCTTGCTGAGAAGAGAAAAGATAGGAAACTATGTCAGACTGGGAACAACACGTTAACACAGTCTAAAGGAATTTTACTGTAAGATTGTGGAACGATGACATTGGACGACCTTCTGAGCATATAATCCTCAAGCCGCAGTTTGGATAAGGCTATTAACCTGAACCAACAAGTATCAGCCTGAAGTGTCTGTGTGAATCAGCTGGGAGAATTGATAAAGGCAGCCAAAAATGGAATCTGAAGGACAGGGTAGGAGTGAAGGCACAAGAATATTTAGAAATCAGAGGGACAACTTGTCTTGTGTTACAGATCAAAGTGAACCAAATAGGAGGGAAGGAAGAAAGAAGAATGTTTCTCTTTGTTCAGACCACATAGATGTTTGCATCAGAACAAGGGAAGAGCCCCCTGTAAACTCATTTACAAAGGGAAAGAGAAAGTCCTCAAGCAGGATGCTGAAGATTGTTTTTGTAGCAAAACTAAAAAGGCTGGCCTGTTCCCTATGGTCAGAAAAGTCGAATTAAAACTCATGTATGATTTAATCAAGGATAAAAGTCACTCCTCAAAGTAGTCACTTCTAGAAAATTACTTCCCTCCTTTTAAATTCCTATTCAATTACCTTGCATTACCTTTAGTTAACAATTCTCATAAATAAATATTGATTACACATAGTCACAATAATCCGGAGCTAGGTAGAATAAAAAAATCCGTTTTGAAAATGGGTGAGAGTCTTAGGTATCCGGAGTCATAAAAAATGCTTTTACTCTCCGATCTACTGATAATACATTAGTGATTCCATTCTACAAAAATGAATTAGTTAAAAAACATATACACACATATTTTTCTATGTTCATCTTTCAAATATATGCAATTCGCATCCTTGAAAATAGTATAAATGTCTCCCAATTAGGAAAATGTTTGAATAAATTATGCTATTGTCATTTAGTAGAGTAGCAGCCATTAAGGTGATATTTATCAAGAGTTTTTAATTAAATGCAAAATACCTATAATAAAATGCTGAGGAAAAGAAAGCAACATAGAAAAAATATACATTATAATTTCAATTCTCAAAAGGCAGAGAAGGCAAAGGACTGGCAAGAAGTATTAAAATGTCAACAGCCTCTGGGCGACGCTATTATGAGTAGTGTGATATTATGAGTTATTATTTTCATTAGACTTTTCCATATTTTTCCAAATATATTTAGGAAGTGCAACATTAACAAACTAGCAAAAGAATACAGGGAAGGAGAGGTAACGATGGTAATGAGGATACAGCTTTTCCCAAGTGTAAGAGGTAGGTCAAGATAGGTAACGACACCCAAATTTCGGGGATCACTAGAGTGCAAACAACTCGTATGTATTTCAGACTGAATCGCATATTAGAAATGTCAAGGTTATAGCATAGCCAGCTGTCTAATACGTCTGTGACTCTGTAATCCTATTTTCTGATATCTCATGCCAGATAGCAAAGAGGAGCCTCTCAAAGAATACTGGCTTGGAAAGAAAAAAACAAAACAAAACAAAACAAAACAGAGCAAATTAAAGAATAAAGAGTCCCAAATATGACCCGGTGAGTATCATTACTATTAAAAACTTTGGGTGTTCCTTTTTCTAACTTAAGGGCCAGATAAGAAAGCTGTGGGGTCTTGACCAAGGTGTCCTGAAGGCATTAGCTTTACCCATTTTTGAGGGCGGTATTTCCTCTCCTCATACAGAGGCGATATGCCATAGCAAAACCACTCAGGAGAACTGTCAGTACCGAATGCCCCAGAGGAATGTGACTGGGCGGTGGGGCAAGACTAGAACCTGTGAATGTGCAGACCTTTTGTTTCTCAAGGGTCTCAGAGTAAAGTTGCAGGTACATCAACAAAACAGATATTAATGAGAGCATCACTGGTTGCTAATCGGTTTTTCTTTCTTTTTCTCTTTCTTCTTACTCCACATGTGTAACTATGTAGAAATGTCATTAAATTGGGGGATAGCAACAAACAAGTCCCAATTATATGCTTGTGCTTTGCAAATAAACCATGTCCTGTATCCACTATTTGGAGCGATCCCTTCACCCTAAATTTTTAGGAGCAACTGTAGGCTTGGGGCTGACACGCGTAATATCCTCACCAAAATATTTCCATTTGAAAAAATCAGATGACTTTTATGATACTGATTTGGGTCTGAAATGGAAAAATGTAGTCGCAAAGATACAGAGTAAAGATCAAGATGAAAGAAAAGCAAAATTGTGTAGAAGTTTGAATGAAATCAAAGTACTGAAATCTTGGTTAATCGTGCAACTTGGGTCTGGACCGCGTTGCACTTACCTTGAGGAAACTCTTCTGGAAATCCATACTCAGAAAGCACTACTCGCTGGAGCCGTCTCCTACGGAATGAGGCATCCGTGCATGGTGAAGGTAAGACGTGGGTCGATAATAACCTTCTGAAGATAGCTGAACTCACGCAGGACTGTTGTTACACTGGGAGGGAGAGGGCTGAGATCGTTTTGTGGGTCGCGATGAATGACTCAGGCGCCGCAGCCATTGAATGGATCAGTTTTCCTCCCTCGTTTTTTTGTCCTTAAATGTATCCGCCTCCACATGTCTGTCGTCTTAGGCAGTTCAGTGGTCCCCAAACCCAGATGTAAATCAAAATCATCTGAGGACTTTTTGTATTTTAATAGATATTCTGGAGGGCCCAGCATTGTAATTCGGCTCCAGTAGAACCAAGGGACCAAAGTTGAGGCTGAAAATCAATATAATTATAGAATTCAGACATGGGTTGTGCAGGGGCCACAATCTGGCAAACAGAGAATGACAGGAGGAGAGGAGCAACTATTGGGGTCACTTAGAAAAGTGTTCTCCAACTACAAACTTCTACTGAAACCTTTCCATTATTCTCTCTGTTGGGATAGGAAAAAAAAAAAAAAAAGCCATAGGAATCATGACTTGTCACCTAGAAGTTGAGGGTGATTTTTGAGAAATCTGGCATGGGGAAAATAAAAATAGCCAATAAATTGTGAGGGAGTTGAGGCAGCTCATCTACATGCATTTAGTATCTATTTATTCACTTAATGTTCTCATTTATTTGTTGGACAAATATTTAGTGAGCAGGTCCTGTGTCTGGGCATTGTTTTAGATACAGGAAATACTAATGAACCACGGACACTGCTCCCACCCTCATGGATCTTATAAGACCACTTATTTGAAAAAAAAATGTTTTATTCTGATTCTGACAGATTTACTAGGAGGTATAGTTCATTTTAAAATTCATTTTTCCCCCAAGTTTTTTTGGCGGTATAATTGACATAGAAAATTGTGTAACTTTGGGGTCTATAATTTAAGGGTTCGATACATACATATGCATAACAATTACAAGTTTGGTGAACTTTAATCACCTCATCTAGCTATAAATTTGTTTTTGTGTGTGTGTGTGTGTGATGAGAAGTTTTCTTATGGACGCTCTTAGCAACTTTCATATATACAGCACAGTATTATTAATTGCAGTCATCATGCCGTATATTACATCCCCAGAACTTACATTTCTTATAACTGGAACTTTGTGCCTTTGACCACCTTCACCTTCACATGGGAGAGATTTGGGCATGATAAAAAGCAAGGAGAAAAGGCTTAGAAATAAAACCTAAACATTAAAAAAGAAAAAGAAAAAAAAAAAACGCAGTCATGGAAGACAGAAGTCCCTTTGGAAGTAGAATGAGGTAGAACGGAGGAAGTAGAATGGAGGAACTAGGGGAAGGGAGTTTAGCCTTCCAAGGAGAGATGGTTCTTCTCTTCCTCTGGGCAGAAAGGGAGGAAATAAGAAACATGTTAGAAACAGAGTAGAGGTAAATAAAAGGCAAGGCACTGTAGTTATTTCAAATATACACTTCTTATTTCTTTATTTCGTTTTTATTATGTATATATTTATATATTTAAGATATATATATATTAAGATATATATATATATCTTTTCAAAGTTTATGTTTCATTTTTGAAAGAGAGAGAGAGAGAGAGAGCAAGCAAGTGGGGGAGGGGCAGAGATAGAGATAGAATCCTAAGCATGCTCCACATTGGCAGTGCAGAGCCCATATTCGGGGCTCCATCTCAGGACCCATGAGATCAGAACCTGAGCCAATATCAAGAATCAGATGCTTAACCAACTGAGCCAACAAAGTGCCGCTATATATTTTCATTATTTAAATTTTAGCTAGTTAACATACAGTTCAGCATTGGCTTCAGGAGTAGAGTTTAATGATTCATCACTTACATATAACACCCAGTGCCCACCACAAGTGCCCTCCTTAATCCCATCACCTATCTAGCCTGCCCTCCACTCACCCACCTGCCTCCATCAACCCTCAGTTTGTTCATTATCAGTAAGAGTCTCTTATGGTTTGTCTCCCTCTCTTTTTATCCCCCGTCCCTATGTTCATCTGTTTCATCTCTTAAATCCCACATGAGTAAAATCATCTGGTGTTTGTCTTTCTCTGACTGACTTGTTTTGCTTAGCATAATACACTCTAGCTCCAGCCACATCATTGCAAATGGCAAGATTTCATTCTTTTTGATGGCTGAGTAATATTCCATTGTGGATATCAACTCTATACTTCTTAAAAAACAAGCTTAGAGATACTACTGAAAGTGTAAACCATTTCAAAAGACAAAACTCAGATACATCAATGTAACAATGAAAGCCCATTGTCTCACTTAACGAATATGCGATTATTACATAAATAAGAAACAGGTAAGGATTTGCCTGAATTTTTAAATTATTGTTGGTTACTAAATAGGTTTACTTAACTAATTACTGCCATTCTTTCTGGTGGCTTTTATGTCAGGATGGGATTTGAGGAACCTCCCAGAGTGACAAATCTTTGATTCCCCAGGTTAATATAAACTGAAAGAAACACTCTTGCGGTAAGCTTCAGGCTTACCTCAGAGGATGCTTTGTTAGGAACCTCTATGGATTACACCAGTCATCCAGGACCAAGAACTGCTGAGCTGTTCAAGCTTATACTTCAGGATGACATCTTGTACCTCTTCAGAAGGGAGGTTCATTATCCCGGGAGGCATCTGACTTAGATGGGCTCTCAGACCCAGTCGAACTCTAGAAAGCTACAGTTCAATGGCTCTCTACCTGTTTTGTTACCATCCAACAAATCATGCTTGCTCAATCCAGTCTGGTTGTCCAGGTCTCTGAAATAATTGATGCGTCCAAGAGACAATAAGTTCAACGCTACCCTGGTTCATTTGATAGCTTGGCAAGCGACATTACAACCCTCTTAAAATCCATTTTATGCCCTCAGAAAAATAGCATCCATTTCAGTAGCTACAGCTGGCCTCTGTCTTTGTAACTCTCTTTGGCATTCAGCGAGGCGGCCATATTGTAGCTGCAAGCTATTACAACAACACCCTGACTTCCAGATTTACAACTGTGTGCTTGTCATTTCCAGATGTAGTTTTACTAAGACAGTTGTGCAGGAAACATTGTGAGAAGCAGCAGATTTCCAGTAAAACATGCCTATAAACACTATGGTTTCTGGCAAATGGCGGGGGGGGGGGGGAAGGTTTACACCCAGATGGCTTAGAAAAATAGAGTCTATTCTTTGTTCATGTTTACCCTGAGGGTTTAAGTGTGATCTACAAGTTTTGTTTTTGTTTTGTTTGTCGCTCTTTGACACTGGAACAACCAACCCACGTAGACCCTTGTGCCCAATAAATGTTTCAAGCACTGTGATATGTATTTTCTGCCTATTGTTCTGCTACCAATTTAGGAATTTTCTAATAGGAATTCAGGATCTTAATTACAAAGGCAGTTACTGCAGGTATTTTGGATTGATCTCCATAATCTGTAAACCTCTGAGCAGCGCCTGGACAGGTTAATTTGAAAGCAGAAACCAAAACTTCCTGTGGGAAGTCACAGACCCATGAGTTCATGAATATTCCTCTGCATCCCATCGAACATGCTGCCTGATTTCTGCCCTAGCACAGCCTACACGATTTAAAAGACATGTTTTGGCAGGAAACAAATTAGCACATATGGGTGTGGGTGGCAGTTTCTTAATGCCCCAAATGGGTCCACCCTTATTTTCAGAAATGACTGTATCTATACAATACTGAGTCAAGGAAGAAATGGGTTGTGCCAGACCCATCCCTCCCCCAGCAAAGTTGGTAAGTAGATGAGATGTATTCCTGATTCTATGTCTGTTACTTTTACAATTTTCTTAAACTAACTTCTTCTCTTTAGGGATCTGTTATAATGCTATTGGCACTTCAGTGCTCCCCTGAAGTGTAGCATTACCATCAACTCTACTCAGAACTCCAGAATGATCTATACCCATTCTTTCCTTCATCAATACTTAACTGCCTTCAGCAATCCATCCTTTCTATCACCCATCCACCCATTTCTATATATTTTTATTAATGAAATGAATAGTCACTATAGGTGTATATTACGTGGAATGGTTGAGCCTGAAGAGATCCAATAATGCAATGTCTTCAGCTTGGAACTTTAAGCCTTTATTCTGAAGAGGCTTGTGTTTTCATAGAATGATCTTAAGACTCATGTAGAGCAGAAGAGACTGGAAAATGAGGAGATCTAGCGGAAAAGACAGAGAGAGAACGAGGGGAGAGGGGACTTCTAGGTTGCTCCAACAGAGCAACTTCGCTTCTTTACAAAATGTATTTTTGGATTCATGTGAAATTGGTCACTATAAAGGGGTTATAAAAGAAACAGAGAAAAGAAAGAAATCAGTTTAGGACGATGCTGCGTCAGTGACAGCGATAGGTTGGAATGTCTTATAGAAGGTTTTTCATACCCTATGTATGTGACATATCATTCCCAACTGTTGGTAAGCACATCATCCTCATGGTTTAAACCTGGGGCATCTGGGTGACCCAGTCGTTTCATTGTATAACTCTCGATTTCGGCTCAGGTCATGATTTCACGGTTCTTGGGATCAAGCCCCACACCGTGAACGTGCAACCTGCTTACAATTCTCTCTCGCCTTCTTCCTCTGCCCCTCTCCCACTCATGCCCTCGCTCTGTCTCTCAAAAAGAAATAAATAAATAAACATTTGGGACCAAAAACACCTATGTTCCTGTAGCATGCTCCAACTTCCATGCCTCCTTGGTAATCTTGACCAGAGGTCATGCTCCACAGGGCCAAAGCTTTTTGAAAGAATGTAGACATCCGGTGAGCAAGGGTAGGGCAGGGCAGGGCAGATTCTAGGCTCCATAAGCAAGGAGCTGTACAGCCTCTCTCCCTAACTGTGCTCAGGGTAATGGAGTATTTTGATTGGCCAGACCTGTGTCACATAACCACCACATGTGTAAGCAGAATTACTATGGAGTGAGGAAGAGCAGTATTTTCCCAAAATGAAGGATGCTGGATAGACATGCACACACATCAAGTACAGTAACAGGGCAGGACATTCACAGTGACTTCTGAAGGATGCACAGTATCCATTTCTCAAA